TAAAGTCACCTAATGAAACTGACGAAGAAACAATTGACAAAATGAAATGAAGTTCACATTCATCGATTTATTCCAAATGATCGTTAGACTAAGTAAGGCACAGACTGACCATTATAAGGGTACAATGATACCCGGGGTCAAACAGCAAAGTTACCACAGCATCACAACCAAGTCAGTAACGGGTAAATCCTCCTCTGTTTGCCAAACAAGCATTGATCCGACGTGGCATATTCCTAATGAGACGTCTAAGGTCATTTTGGTCCAGATTGTCCCATTCCTGTTGCAACGCAGCAGCAAGTTCTTGGACATTGGCAGGACGTTGTTGACGTTGACGTAACCTCTGTCCAAGCATGTCCCAGACATGCTCGATGGGGGAGAGGTCGGGACTCAGTGCTAGCCAAGGTAATGTGGTGATGTTCTGTTGTTGGAGGTAACCTGTAACGATCCTGGCCCTGTGACATCTTGCGTTGTCATCCTGGAAGATGAAACGGCGGCCATGACGTCGTGCGAACGGCACAACATGGACTGCCAAGATGTTGTCCCGGTAGTACTGGCCTGTAACACGCCCTGCAACAACATGTAAAGCCGTTCTTCCAGCAACAGTGATGCCTCCCCACACCATAACAGAACCACCCCCAAATCGATCATGTCTGATGACGTTAACGTCTTGGAAGCGCTCGTTTCGACGACGCCACACCCTCCTACGTCTGTCCAAAAAATCAACAGTGAACCTTGACTCATCTGAAAACATCACATTGCTCCAGCGTCGATTATCCCAGTGTTGACGATCCCTACACCAACGACGTCTTGCCTGAATGTGATGATCTCTCAAACAAGGGATCACGCGAGGACGTCGGGCGCGAGGGTGACCCCTATGCAGTCGATTCCGAATCGTCTGGCCACTCACTTTCACACCAGTGTCTGTTTGAAGACGAGCGCTGATCTGATTTGCTGTGATGACACGATTTCTCAAGGCCAAGGTACGGATAAATCGATCCTGGGCTTGAGTTGTCGCCCTTGGTCGACCTGAGCGTGGTCTGTCCTGTACAGATTGTGTATCACGGTATCTGGACCATAGCCTGCTTATGACAGACTGAGAAACATTCATCGTCCGCGCCACAACCGCCTGTGTTGTGCCGATCTGTAGCATGCCAAGGGCACGTAACCTTTCATTTTGGGTAAGCCGACGCATATCAAAATTTATTTTCTGGTCACTAAAACAATTAAACTGATGTTTCCACCCTGGAATTCAATGCCACAATGACTGTAACATTCAAAGTCAGAGTCGTGCAAATCTTGGGTTGGACCCCCATGATGATCCCAAGCATCACCTGCATTCCATGCGGTAGCTATTGGTGCGTTTGGGCGTCACATGTAACTGGAAATGTTTCTTCTGTTAGGTTCTATAATGACTTTTTTCGTATTTATTTGCATATTTTAGTATTATGCCCCCAAAATCAAATATCCCCTACTTTTTTTGAATAGTATATTAATCAGTGCAAGTGGACAATAGTATAGTCTTGGTCATCCAGGGTGATAGACTTGTAATAGTAGACCATAGTTTTGTCGGTTAGGATATTTGAATTACAGCATAATATCTCGTCGTGTATCCAGTAGAACCTTTGGGATTTTTGATTTCGGTTCTCCCTCATCAGTTGTGTCTAGTCGTTCGGATGGGACAAAAACATGACCCGTGTGCAAACCGATAGTGCATGTAAGATATTTCCCCAAAAAGGTAGAATTCCAAAAACAGTTTTAAGGTTTTGCAACTGTGGGGGCAAAATAGGGAGGGGTACTGGAGGTTCCCCCCCCCCCCCAGGGGATTTGCGTAGGTTAAGAGGGTCTGCCCTGCGAAAATTTTGACCCTCTACATGACCATTTTGAGCTATTTGGGGATGCCCCCGTACTTTGGCCTTAAAATGGCCTGAAAACAGTTGCCGCTGTCTGGACGCAATTTCCTTCCGAATATAGAAAGGAAAATTAAATATCGTATGTTAAACCTGGGCCCACGATTGAGTCAGAATGTGGTACACTCGTGGGAGACGGGCGTTCTTAATCCTCCAGCCAAAGTGCTTTGTGCCTACCATTTTTCCACTCTGAGGAGGGCCAGGTTAAAGGACAATATTGGTGTCAGTCATAATTATGTATGTGATAGAACTGGTTAAATACATTCCAAATATAATTTTAACACAGAGATCATTGCTACGAGAGATATGTAACAAGCACGTGAAGAAACGGGAATTGACAAACATGACAAACACGAGTTGCCCTTCTATATATCTGAATGAAGTAACGAGCGATAACAGACAAACGATCGAATTTCATTTCACTGATAATTCACTGATAATAATATGGGACGGTGAGAGGGTATATCACAATTCAAAAATAGAATTGGCTGTCACTAGATAAGGGTATACGAGAAAAATAAAAAAAAATCCCGTGCATTCCCCCGTTTTATTCATTCTGTTCTTAAGAAAAACATTTTAATGCACGGACGTTTCTAATTTGTTCGTTATCTTTTATCTAATGATAACCAATTCTTTTTTTGAATTGTCAGATATCCTCATACCGTCTCATATAATAGCTTTTCATCTTCAACTGAATTATCAGTGAAATGAAATTCGATCGCGTGTCTGTTATCGCTCGTTGCTTCAATCAGTTATATAGTATGATAACTCGTGTTTGTCATGTCTGTCGTCACTTCCCGTTTCTTCACGTGCTTGTTACACATCTCGCGTAGCAATGATATCTGTGTTAAAGTTATATTTGGGATGTATTTAACCAGTTCTATCTCATATTTTATAATGACTGACACCAATATTGTCCTTTAATGCAATGGTTGCATTATCTTACTACAGACGCCGGCTCGTATGAGACAGGCTTTAGTCACAAAATGGCACGGAAACGATATTCTGTTAGTTAGTTTATAGTTAGTTTATTTCAGCCATAATACATTGTACAATGCCAATGTACTTGAGAAAAGTTATAACAATTTGATAAAAGTCTTCTATAAGTTAGTATTTTTGTTAAAAATGTTTTAAATAATCAACACGAAGTTCTATTTATGCCGTTGAAACATATCCTGGCCTATTATTAACTTACATTAATATATAAACACCATATTTAAACAGCATATGTTGAAAAACATAAATAAGCAATATGGCGGAATATTAACATACGAGTATTTACTACAACAAAATAAAAATAGAAATGTAAAAATAAGACTAAAAAAAAATATTAATGGAGCAAATGAAGACGGTAAAACAAAATAAAAACTATAATTGCGAAGCAGTACTTACAAAATAGACATAGAAATAAAAAAAACAATAAGATGAAAATAAAATAAAAACTTGAACTGCGAATAATTACTTGCGTGTTTCGGCAAAATGTGTCAACGCGAAGGTCGGGTTAAATTTTTCTATGATCTTCTGTGAAGTATAAAAATAAAAATTGAAAATAAATATCACCGTAATAATATCAAACTACGTTACTGTATCACGTAAAGATACAGAGAAAGAGAGAGATGGGGTTTAACGTCCACTCAACACAAACTAGGTCATTTCGGGACTAACACATGGTTCAATTTTATTTCAATAATTCGCTTGCGCGTAGGGGTCTTTAGCAGTGGGGGGGGGGAACCGGAGGACCCGGCGAAAACCCACGAGGTTGGACAGGCGACCCTACACCTTGTCACGTACAACCGGGGATTCAAAACCACGCCAGTTGACTCAATGACAGGCTTTATGATACAGCACGCACGTGCTAACCATTCGGCCATCCAACCCCCCACGTAAAGATACAACATACAACAGTAAAGATACAACATGTAGTGTCGGGTATCAAAATAAATGCCTATTAAAGTGGAAAAAGTCTGCCATTAAAACCAGAAGTTATACTTCAAGATCAAACTTTTTGGATATTAGTTATTAGTAGATAGGATCTGGGCCAGTTAGGGTCTTCAGAAGTGTGTAATAGAGTATTCTAGTACATGAGGATTGTTTACATTGACAGCGGTGCTACGGCCTACACGTGTATTAAACTTCTGTCAAAGGTTCTTTTACGTGCACGACAACGTACACTGGACCTCGATAAAAACACGGAGGCCGGTAAAATAAAAAAATGCGGAATATTACACGAAAGAAAAGGAAAAACGAATTGTAAAACATCTGATTTCAAACTACAATACAGGCAATGTGACTAATTGTTGTAAACCTTGTTCTGATTGGCTCAGCATATCTGTCAATCTTCCATCAGCAGCTATAAATATTCCACCTAAAATATACGTAAAACAGGGATGGTCCATTATTAAAATGTACAGAATTAAGAGATAGAGATGGGTTTTAACGTCAACTCAACACATCCTAGGTCATTTCGGGACTAATACGTGGTTCAATTTTATTTCTATAATTCGCTTACACGCAGGGTTTTTTTTAGCAGTGCTTATGTGTGTGTGGGGTGGGGGGGGGGGGGCTTGTCAGTGGTGCAGGGCGTCTGGCCTGACCAGGACAGCTGTCTAGTCGTTCGGATGGGACGTAAAACCGAGGTCCCGTGTACACATTGACGTGTACGTTAAAGATCATTTGGCAGTTGAGATTTTATATAGATACGATTAAGCCGTAGCGCCACTGTAGCGCCGCTGTCATATCACACTGTATGCGGTTAGATCTTTTTGATACGGCCAACTTCAAGTTTGGTCAAAAATAGATAATTCAAAATTAGTATATAATGGAAATTGAATCCAAATTACTTTATTGTGGGCGAAATTATCAGTGTTTGAAGTTTTTACACAGATTGTTTGTTATCGTAGCAACGTTACTTGTTAATCTAGCCTCGATTTTTAAATTAAATAATTAAAAGGCGATCGTATTTCAATCCGTCTACCTCTGCGCCGTTCGATTGTCTAGGTAGTTGATTCGAGGCTTGTCACGTGAATAATTTATATAACATTTGAAGCCAATAGGCAGATTTAGCTCTTACATAATGTAAAACAATAATTTAAACTACCAACCTGTATGTATGAATAGAATTCGTTTTCCTTTAAACATTTCCTTTCTTGTATTTAGAATTTGAACCAATCCTAAAACTGCTTTACCTGTATAAACAGGGTCCAACACAATACCTGTTTTTTTACCGACCATTGTTATAAATTCTGTTACACAAAATAAACAAATGGATGGATGGTTGGATAGATGGATGGATGGATGCGTAGATAAATGCATAGATAGATACACAGGTTGATAACATAGATAGACCAAGATAGATACATTCATAGATACATACATAGATACGTACATACATAGATAAATAGGGGGCAAAGCTAAGTACACTTTTGTCCATTGAATAAAGGCTTTTATCAATGGAATGCCAAAAGTGCCACATTTAGCTAAGATTTCAGAATTCAGTAGAACTAATTTCTATGAAAAAAGGAATCGCATTATAATCACCAGGCTTAAGGGCGTCGTGACCACTGGGAATTTGCATGCGAAACCAAATATTTGTCTAGCCCAATGGGCTTATGAAGAAGAGCATACGCAACGCAATTTGCTATGAGGATCATTTTGCCTGGACAGCGGTGCTACGGCCTACCCTTATTTCGGATTCCAACTGTCAATATGTACCCCTGTTTTTCGTCACATCCGACCGACTATGCGTTGATCCTTGCCAGGCCCTACGTCCTAGACCACTATCTAGTAGGGGGAAACAGCCGATGAGCTTTCTCGGTCAACACCGGGATCTAACACCACACGAGACGTCCAGGTTAGTGCGCCAACGTCTTACTTAGTGAGACGCCAAGGCTACCATAAATAAAAAAAGTACGACCGGAATAGTTCCCAAAGGAATGCGGCATTCTACAAAGAATACGCACATACGGCCTGGTGTACGAGAATCGGCGGCATTTAGTGTAGACTTGTATATCAAGGAAAATAATTAAAGCCCCTTTATGATTTGGATAACTGAACCGAAACTGCAGTTAAACATGACGTGTAAATATATAAAATGAAATGAAATTGGGGTTTAACGTCCTACTGTTCTGTTCCGAACTCGTCTTATGAAGACGGGCATACGCCATACAGTGTCCTATGAGGGAATTTGTGCCCGGACAGCGGCACTACGGCCTACTCTTACATCGAATTCCAACTGTCAAGGGATCTTTTACGTGCACGCCAATGTGTATACGGGACCTCGGTTTTTCGTTCCATCCGAACGACTAGACAGCTTTCCTTGTCAGACCCTCCGTCCTGCATCACTGACGAGGGGGAACCACGCCGGCCTACTCTTATATCGAATTCCAACTGTCAAGTGATCGTTTACGTGAACGCCAATGTGTACACGGGACCTCGGTTTTTCGTTTCATCCGAACGACTAGACAGCTGTCCTTGTCAGACCCTCCGTCCTACATCACTGACAAGTGGGAACCACGCCTGAAAATCTGGATGAACTTTCTCGGCCAATGCATGTATCGAACACTCGACCTCCAGGCTAGCGTGTAAATACAACCAATTTATCGGATGATTAAAGTCTTCTACCAGTTTTCATTCAGAAATGTTTGCCATATTTTGATTTAAAACCAGCAGCCTGCCGATGTATTCGTATCGTTATTCAATCAAGTTTTTAAACACACAATACAAACCTAATTCTTCACGTGTTGATAAACCATAACCGTTGCCATGGTAACCAGGTATGACATTGACAATATTCTCAGCTTTAACATGATGTAAACCAAGTTTTGTTAGAATATCGTCTATACTGGGAATCACTCTATTAGTCTGCTCACTGACATCTATACCATGACATCTGTCACATAGAAGAAAGACACAAAACTAATTTATTTCAGGACTAACATGGTGTTGCGCGTAGGGGTCTTGGGCGGCCATTCAGACCATGTCGGGATTCGAACCAGCAACATCTCATCTAATTAAAACCGGAAACCGGAAAATCCTAATAAAATCAACGTTAGACATGCGACCTCGCACCTGTCAATCAGGAGATACTAATCGTAGACCGGTTGGGGAGGTTTGGGCGCTATATATAATTGAGTATTTGGGGAATACTAGCCCTAACCCTTTTTAGAAGACTGATCTTGGATCGAAGTTACCGTTCACGAATCTTAAACGGGTTAGGTTTAAGAATTTTGGGGAGAGGATAAGTCTCGACATAAGCACTCACCTAGAGAGGAAATCAACGGTAACCTTATGGGCTACAGTTTATGTGATCAACACCATTACAAAACGAATATAATAGACCTTAACGCCTAGTAGTTTTATAGTATGACACTAATTTTATGTCCTTTTTGTAAGCTAGGTGAAGAATTCTTGTATGGTGTATTTTTAGGGTCAATCGCTTAAAAAGGCATTATGTACGATTTAGATAAAGCGAGGACAGTTCTCGCTAACAAATAGATACCGTAAAAGGGATACTAAAAATTTCGGCCAAATTACTACATTCTGAGCGCAGTTGCAAGTTTTCAGATGAATAGTGTTGTCTCTTGATACGGTATTATACAAACGCTCCATTATCCATTTTAAATTATTAAAAGATAATCGTGTTTCACTCCATTAAAAGTCGTGATCATCCGATGGTCCAGTGGGTTGATTATTGGCTTGTCGTGTTAATAAATGTATTTAAAATACAGATGTAACGTCATCCTTTGCCAATCGTACATTATCTATACTAGATGAAATATTGGACTCGCGTGACGTATTTCATAGAAAAGCACGTGCAGGATAGTGTCTGTATTTTAAGTTGTTTAATGGTCTCGAGCTAAAGACATTGCGTAATGTATTGAAACGACACTTGGCTAAAGTATCAATATTTTACTTAATGTCTTGCTCTCGACATAAAACTTGGGGACAAAATAAGGACCCGCAGTAGGCAGATTTAGCTCTTATATAATGATATTTATTTCCCCTCTGGTCAAGTACAGCCTTGTTTATATTGATGACGTTGGCGTACCTTAGATGTGATTATTACACATGGGGTTGCCACGGGGCATTTTGTTGACGTACCTGAGATGTGAACCAGTCAGATAGTTGCCTATAGCTAGACCAGCCAATGTATTACCCAATCCACAAGATGTAACAACTATGTCATCAAACCGTTCACATACATTCTATAACATATAACACACAAGATGAAACAACTATGGCATCAAACCGTTCACATTTATTATGTGACATATAGCACAGAAGATGTATCAATAACGTCATCAAGCCGTTCACATGCATTCTGTAATATATAGCTCACAAGATACAACAACTACGTCATCAAACCGTTCACATAAATTGTATAACATAACATTATTATAGCACTCAAAATGTTACAATTCATATTTAGCCCCAATTGCCAATGACGCATCAATTTTGAAAATAAGGTCAAATTTCAATAAGACCGCCCATTATGCATGAAAAACGTCATTAGCTGTCAGTAAATGGAACAAAAGAATGAAGATGGATTTTTAGACGACACAGACACAAAATGGCCTCTGATGATCCTCAAAAACTCAACGCTGTGTCTACATAGGACTTCTTATTGTTACAAACTTACCTGATTCATCATCTCTCTAAAAGCTTCGATATAACCAAATACCCCGACTTCATTCGAGCCCCCCACTGGAATTGTATAACATTTCTCTCCTGTTGTTAATCTGAATAAAATCACAAATGAAATGGGGTCTAACGTCCTACTTTTCTGCATAAATAAAACAAGATCCGAGTACAATAAGATATATTTGATGCATCCCTGCCCTGCACACACCCTCCCCTAAGAATTCCGCATACTTCTCTGTACAGTTTGGGCCTCGTGGTAAACTCCAACAGAATTGGTATATACTAGGACAATATAAGATATACTATGCATGCCGATTTAATATAAATAATGAATATCTTGCTTATAATTACAGGTTGCAAACATATGTATGTAAGTTAATGTCATAATGCCATGTATAATGCTTTGTAATAAAATAAAACAACAATAAAGATTGCAAACAGCGATGGTACAAGAACAGAACCCTGTGGTACTCCAACATTATAGATTGATATAAAGATCACTTCTTACTTTATATGTTGTCGAAGATTCTCAAACTTAGGAGTCAGGCCAGCCTTCCCAACTTGCGATTTCTGTACAATATACATCTTAGCGGCAGATAAACAATTCAGCAACATGTTCCCCTCTATGCTTATCTTGCTCTCATCCTTAAAAATAAATGATTTTATAATATGCACGAGTTTCTGCGGCTAAAGGGTGCGTGTGTGGGGGGGGGGGGGTCAAGAAAAACATACGGTTTTAAGAATAATTTATTGCTTATAACCATTTTAGTTTACTTTCGGCGTTAATGGTAATCGCACCAGTAGTCATAATCAACTTATAATAATTTTTTAGCGGTTTTAACATGCGCTTTTGTTCATTAGTTTTCAATTTTAATGAGTAGGATCCCTTACTTTTATTGTAAAGGTTATCAAACAATATGCCTTCTTGGTGCAAGATAATAGCAGATATATACTAATGTATTTCATCGACAATAACCTAAATTCATTTTATTTAAATGCATCCATTGATTGGTGAATATTTTCAAACTATAAGGGCACGAGTGTGTGTTGGGGTGGGGTGGGGTGGGGTGGGGTGGGGGTAATCATTGTTAAAAACATATCTTGCGCTTTGTGAATGAGGCACCCTATCTAATTCCAAATACATTACTCAGTGGGTGTACACGTGCCAAGGAAAATATTGGCCTGTCCCATCTCGTGGATTTTTCTCCAGGTCCTCCGGTTTCCTCCTACTGCTAAAGACCCCTACCCTCATGCGAATTATTGAAATAAAACTGAACCATATGTTAGTCCCGAAATAATCTACTGTGTGTTGAGTGGTCATTAAACCCCATTTATCTCTCTCGTCACGAATATCAAGTCACTCATGCATCTGAAGAACTAAATTACAGTTTAGCAAATCATGAGATTACTTTCAAATGGATCCACATTTTGAGATTTACCCTTTGGGTTACATGCGTTAAGTTGTGGCTTGGTCTATGCATCCTGGGACCGTCACTTTAATTCGTCCGGCTTCCGTCCTGTGTAAAACTTACATGTTCATTAACTATCAACAAAAGATGTGATTTCATTCCCACTTCTCGTGCTGCTATGGCAAGAGATCTACAATGATTTGATTGAAGCTGACCACCGGTGATAACCTGTTTGTAACCTTGCGCAACAGCGCCAGCCAATAAAAAGTCTAGTTTCCTAACCTGAAATTAGTAGACAAACAAATTATTAAATAATAATGTTGAATAAAAATCACACTTAATAGAATTAAAAGCAGTTAAAGGACATGGTAAATGACTTCATTTATTAAAAAGTTAACACAATTCTATACACAAAGAAACGGGTTAAGCACTCCCTGTATTTTTCACAATAAATTGCATTATGAGGTTTGACGTTTAAACCCTGATAATATAATCTGGTTGGCAAGAATACATCTTACACAAAGAGTTTATATCCAGTTTTTAGATTTTAATCATGATTTTCAAAAAAATTTCAAGATGCCGTGTTTGGGCAAAGGAATAAAGGATTCACAGTGAGGCCACATCCTGTCCACCGTCTTCATGGGCAGAACAGTAGGGCGTTAAACCCCTTTTCATTTAACGTGCTCTCCAACTTACCTTGTTACCGGAGAGAGTACTTCCTGTCATGTCATCTCGTTTTATAAATATTTTAAATTCATCAGGAACACCGGGTAAATTCCATGTGTGTATTGGCGTGTTTTCATGTGTCAGCTGAAAAATAAATTTAATTTCTGTGAATTTTATTTTAGACCATACACAACGTCATTAAGTATGGTCCAATAAATCATTCAAATTGATTCAAACGTAGTTATAGAAGACATACTTATAACCAGGCCTCGGGTTCGCTATCGGTATTGGTCCAGAAAGTTCCCGAGGGTTTTCCGGCGTTGTTTCATCTTGGGAGGTGTGTAGTAAAAGGACCAGTCTCTATTTGTTCGTATGGGACGGAATGTCGAGGTCCAGTGTAGACATTGGCGTACGTGAAAAAGTTCTCTTGGCAATTGGAATTTGTTCGCTGTCCGGGAAAACGTCCCTCATACTCATAGCACACAATGTATGGGGTATGCCCGTGTTTAATAACCAAGTCGATGCAGAATAGTGGGACGATAAACCACATTGAATTTCATTTCTTGCTTAAATATAGTCTCTATCAGCCATAAAATATGTTATATTAATGCAAGAATGCGGCGATTTATTGCGGGAAGGGGCGCAACTCTTACTTGACTTGGACAAAGATACTGGATAATCAATCACATTAAAAACCAAACTCCCGATTAATCATGGGCAATGGACTTTTCGTCAAATATTGACAACGGTCCCAGAACCTCCGTATGTTGAAGATTAGGAGGTTCTGGGTGATCGAGCCTAGCTTAAATATTGTAAAACATTGTGACATAAACTACTCGCATGGGGAAAATGGATGGATATCAAATAAATGCATTTACTTTAGTGTCAAATGGACACTGTCCACATGTTCCTGTGATTTTCCCGTATTTTTAGCAAATAAACTGACTTTTTTTAAAATTTGAAATATGTGTTTTTATCGAAAGAAATATGTACCGAAAGGACTGACTGATTTGTAAGGCAAGACAATTTTATTCATGATTTTTAATTAAATGGCGAAAGGGGTACCTCACGGAGAAAAAAAAAATGTCAACTGAAACGCGTCTTACCATGTTCTTTTATTATACACCAGGGCCCTGTTCCTCGAAATCTTAATTAAAGATAAGAATCCAAATTTTAGTAGATACTTCAATTTTGATTGGCTAAGCACTAAAATCAATCTAATATTATCCAATCAAATTACTAAAATTAAAATTTCGTGAAACAGGCCCCTGAGGTATTTTTTTTTATTATAACAGACAGCTTTATTGATAACATTCACTAGGTTTATTAACTGCAAAGTTTCAATGGGGTACTGCCACCGTTATCTGTAGGTAATTGGGGACATTTGCAAGACAATTTCATACAGGTCAGATTATAATTTTTGTCGTTTGAGGGTTCACAAGGTTCTACAAACTGAAACAAGGGCCTGGTCGTATAATCATTTGGATGGGATATGTGCGGATCTATTATGAAACCAATGAAGATAAAGCTTCTGGGTCCCTAGGCCAGGGACCCCCACCCCACCTCCATCGAAGCAACTTCTGCTAAAATGTACGTCTACTGTCGTGGTGGGACCATTACTATACAGAACAGGAATGTTTAGGGGTGAATAGCTACCATGCTATAGCTGGATGTCCTGGCAATATTGCAGGCAGAATCAGGATTTAGAAATTAGGTTCCAATCAAATCTTACAAGTGTAGGGTTTGGTATTAATTTCTTGTTTTCTTCTGTCATAAAGCAAATCCATGGAAGTAGTGAACAGTAGTTACCAAGACCTCGTTGGTGGCTGAAAAGGGTCTCCATAACAGTTCAAGCTACAGGGCCCCAAAATATTGGTCGTCCGCTGCTGGGTTAAAATCATCCAAAAAAGGTAAATTTTTAAGACCATTACCTGCCTTTCTCGCAACCTACGGTGAGCAGTGACCAGGGCTATATCCCATAGAACAAAATAATCAGCTTTTAGTCAATTGAAATGGCGCAATCCTAAAATAATTTAGTTTAAACATTCGTGAATAGTGCGCGCGCATTTTCAGGGTTCGAATGGTGTATGAAATTACGATGTATTAATTGATTAGTGAATTTATTATTTTTCATTGATTTCAGACCAATTACGCTTATAGTTTGCTACGAAAGCCACAAAGTCACGTTGACAGGTCACACTTACCGTTTTGTTTTGTTTCTCCGGTGGGTATTACGCCGCTTCGTCAAATATCAAGAGATATAGGACCCGAAAAAAATTAACCATGAAACTCGGTAACTGCACATTTAATAACAACGATGATATATAAAAGGAAATTTATTTTTAAAAACATAATACGGACACCCTTTATGTTTCTATGTATAGATGGATCAGCTGAGCAAAATGACGTGAAAGTAATTTTTGAAAAAGAATGAGACTGTGTACGGAAGAGTGTCGCTGCCAATATTAAATGCTCTGCTAAAATGTCTTTTCGATGGATTATGTGTAAAAAGTACAATGTACAAAGTCCTAATACCGGTAATGATAAGGTCAAAATACCGCTAAGGCAAAAATTCAATGTAAAACGTCAAATGTAATGTGTTAAATGACAAATGTTTTATTGGAAAATGCTGTTTTTTGACATGTCAACATTTTACATCTCTCATTACATTTCACATTTGCGCTCTGTCGCATCTCATTTGTCATTTACGCTTTCTTCATAGCATCTTATGCACAGCACTATTTTTGATATAATTATTCAAATGTAGGACATCAAGTGATTTATTAACATATACGGAAAAGACGCCGAGATCAACCAGGCACACTATAAGCCAGGGGCCTGTGTCACGAGTCGCAAAAATAGACCTTCCGTAAAAACTACCTTGCCAATTATCGAAAACACTCTTAATCCCCTCAGACGCCAGTGACCTCAGTGACCGAATGCATATTCGTAATTATCTATATACAGCCCGCGTGTGTATTCATTAACCCCTGACTATTTCCTTAATCCCCTAATTAAATAAAACAATTGACTACGATATAATTTGTTTTGTAATTTAGATTGTTTTATCATGTCCCACCCTCTCTTCTAACGACAGCGATTTTAATACTGTGTTTTAAAGTGACTTTTTGATAGAGTCCCTCTACCATCGTGTGCAGTCCAAAAGATACGAGATACATTTCGTCAGAAGAGTATTGTGGTTCTAATTTTCCGAGTAAAAAGATGTGGTCATGCAAAATGTATCATAAAAAGTCAAACATATTGAAACGCGATTTGTAAATGTCGATCCATTATCAGACCGTAAAAATGACCGTAAAAATGAAATACGAAAAAATATCTCAATATACGTTAGAATTAATAGTACAAATCAAGTTTGTTGTTAAGTGGAATAACAGATTAAAAAGGGTCGTCTAACTATCTTTGTGTATTGATATAATAATATGGCAAGTGCAGTGTCGTTTATATCTGTCACTAATCAATCCGACTAAAGTTGCACAGATGGGGTCATAAATTAATTAAGAATGCTGATTAGGTAATTATCTTTTTTTTTACGCCGGCCAGATCAATTAGCTTTGCTCACCGATGTTTTTGTAATAAAGTAGCCTCGTATTATTTGTTGATTGGCGTTTAAACAACATTTAATTGACTTGTTATGAAATCTGAATATAAATCATTTGTCGAAGGTTCGGATTAGCCATACTAGTCACCAGATTTCGTTGCAGCCACGGTCGTCCAGCGAATTTCTTATCGTGTGGTACATACCCTTAAAGTATGCTGGCTTATAATGTTGTTGTTGTTGTTTATTACAGATTTAACGTCCAATACAATTCATATGATATTATGGACAGGTTGATTTAATTAAATTATATACACTTAAAGGGTTGAAAAATTGGTAAAAAGGATTAAGGTTGTGTTGGCGTTTTGTAGTGTAATCATTGCACAATCAATCAATCGCGTGAATGAAATCTTCATCAAACATACCAATCAATTTGATACGATAATTATTACAAATGAAATACGAAAAAATATCTCAATATACGTTAGAATTAATAGTACAAATCAAGTTTGTTGTTACAAATTATTACAAATTTAACGTCCAATACATAATGTATGATATTCAAATGTAGGACATCAAGTGATTTATTAACATATACGGAAAAGACGCCGAGATCAACCAGGCACACTATAAGCCAGCATACTTTAAGGGTATGTACCACACGATAAGAAATTCGCTGGACGACCGTGGCTGCAACGAAATCTGGTGACTAGTATGGCTAATCCGAACCTTCGACAAATGATTTATATTCAGATTTCATAACAAGTCAATTAAATGTTGTTTAAACGCTAATCAACAAATAATACGAGGCTACTTTATTACAAAAACATCGGTGAGCAAAGCTAATTGATCTGGCCGGCGTAAAAAAAAGATAATTACCTAATCAGCATTCTTAATTAATTTATGACCCCATCTGTGCAACTTTAGTCGGATTGATTAGTGACAGATATAAACGACACTACACTTTGTAATAACCATCATAATATGCAAAAATGACAACTAATAATTCCCAACTATTTTTTGCTTTTCAGGCATTTCTGCTTTTCAGGCCTGCGGTTATTGTAATTTAATGCACTCAATATTTCTAACCCTGCTTTTCTACATCACCATAACATCCAGTGAAGTACCACTCAATATTTTAAATTGTCAACCTTCAGGGGACTATTGATCATTGTGCAGTCATTGTTCTAAGGGTTTTTCGTATATCAGTGTAATCACTCGCATCAACATCCACATATCAATTATTTTGGTTATAACACAAATCAAATCTCATCTTCGTGGGATGTTGTCATTATCAAAACCTCATCAAATCGTTGTAAATACTCCACAACAATCTATTCTTTTACCATTTGTATTTATTTCAGTGAAAGGGGTCGTTGATAACATTTCATCAATTTTCATTTTCTTGCAACGTTTGTATTATTAAAACCCACTAATCACTGTGTATACTCCACAACAACTTATCCATTAATCAATTAGTCAATTTTTTAGGTTAATTGGTATTATTACTTATTAGCGTACAATTAAATCAGATTACCATTAGGTACACGTAATTAAGTTACATCCCTGGTTTGTCATCATTAACTTA